AAAGCAGTTTCAAGGAATCAACCATTTAGGAACAACACAAGCAACAACCTTTAAAGAGGCCAATCAGAAGCTGAAAACTCCAAATGGCCCTGCATTACTCAAAAAACTTGAGAAGGGAGTAGGGAGATTAAGATGATAAACAAACTTAGCATTTATACTACCTGTCAAACATGCAAACGAAAATTAATGAAATATCCCAACAAAAATTAGTCAAGTGTAAAAACTGCGGACTACGACAGAAGCAAGCAGCGTGAAAACGAGATGCATCTGTGCAACTACCTGTACCTTTGGCTGACAAAGATGTGTGGTTAACAGCATTTACAGATGGTCTGCAGTCCTTATTTGCCACCCACCCAACACCTTCCTTACTTAGTGACTCGGATACCATGTTCATGAGGAACTGCGAAACTGCTCTGGAGAGTCTTGTTACTACAAACTTTACAAAGGATAATTTGATTAAAACATTCAGTTTCGTTTTTCATGGTCTTTTATCACAGTGCGGCACAGTGCAGACCTAAATTAAAGGTCAAATGAACCAAAACTTAGACATTTTTCTTCCAGTTCAATTTTAGTGAAATATGTTTAAGATGATCCAAATAAACAAACCATGAGGTTTCAGCTTAATTGAAGCAAGCATCTCCAAGATATTCGCAATTAATAATTGCCATTTTTTGGCCCTTNCGTGCTCTTTCAAGAACATTGACCCCTGACTGACTAAAGTCTTCCTGGTGCTGTACTAATAATAGGCTTTTGTACATTATGCTTTTGCTTCCCTACTAAAATGCTCCACCTTAAGGTTCCATTTTTCCCACTAAAATGCTCGGTCTCCCCAAAAAAGTCACTAAAATGCTCGGATAATGCTCATTATACAAACGGTTTTTTAAATTTATTTCAAAGTTTACACTTACAAAAACGTGCAAGTGTTGCAAGTAACAACGACAGCGTGTACAAGTTCATAAATACAGCCAAAAAACCCAGCTGTATTAGGTTTTTTGTGAATTTTGAATTCTAGTCTTCATTTTGTTTAAAAAAGCAGGAGCTCATGGGGCATGGGCTCCTGAAAAAAGTTAATTCTATTTTATTTTCTCGGAGAAATTAATTTTCCGGGGAAAATGCCACTAAAATGCTCGAATAATGCTCAATGCTTTTGCCTCACTAAAATGCTCGAAAAAATGCTAGCATAATGTACAAAAGCCTAACTAATAAGCTACTCATCAATCCTAGTAAAACCAAACTCATTTTGTTTGGAATGCGACAGCTATTGAGTAAAATTCCGGATGTCAGAGTTCCTTTTCTTGGCCAAAACTTAGCTCCCGTACCTTCAGTCAAATATCTGGGGATCATACTAGACTCAAACCTCACATTTAATGAACATGACAGGTAGACCTTCGTTCCTTATCTCTACTCTGTGTCACATGAGCAGAGTTAAGAGATTTATTCAAGCAGATAAGCAGATTTATTCAATCAATCAAAACCTTTATTGTCGATAGTCCCGTTTTTAAGCTTTCTTTTTATTTGTTTTTTGGTATTCCGATTAAATACTTTTGCTATTAATTCTGTTATTATTGTAGACAGGGAATAGTAAAACATGTGCTTAAACCACACCTAAGGGACCCTATGCGCTTTACACCTAATAGATATTGTTCTTTCAAGTTAGACAGACGAAATAAAAGGACAATACCACTTTGGTGACCACAACGCGGGATGAATTAAAGTTTTTTATTCCTTGTAGAAGGATCTCTCCCACTGATAATTGTAATTGACAAAGATGCCAACAAGAAGATGCGTCAGGTTTGAAATATAAATGCAGGCCAATGTTTTGTCCTTTTTCTTTAAGACAAATGATGCGAACAAGCATAAAGACAGTTAGCCTTCGATCTTTCCGAGGCGTAAAGGACCACTTATCGACTAATATGTAAGTACGCCTCATGTGCCAATTATACTTTACTGTCTTGTAGTTGCATATCACAACAATGTCTTAGACTTAAAACTGAACAAAAAAATGGAAACAGGAAGGAAAAAAGCGCCTGTTTAGAGCTTAGTCTGGCCTTTTCCGCGATCTCAATATTGAAAGCTAGGAGGGGACAGTGGCTAAATCTTTTCTAAATCCGTCATCACTAAATGGAGGGTGGAAAGCAATTAAAGTATCTCGTCTTGTTTTGTTACAAATGTGATGATTCAAGAACCATAATGCGAATTGAGTAGAGCACTCAAGAAGTATGGAGAAACACTCGACTATATCACTTGTTTACCTCTACAGTTCTTTTGTGCTCCAGCCTTTTCCTGTGTGCTTTACAACAGAACAGAGCACAGTCAAGGCTTCTTCATTTGTTAAGTTGAAAGCCATCACAGTGATAGCTGGTTTATGCACATAGTATTGTAATTCTCAGTCTCGTAACATTTCTGATCAACTAAACGGAAAATACTTGATAAAAATCATCTTCATTTTAAAATTCCAACTTAAATCAGATTTCCGTATATCGTCGGAGACTCAGGGGCAGATAGTGGGGGCAAGGGAAAGTCTAAACAAGCGGTACAAATGGCGCAAAGAAAGGTAATTCTTCGCGCCATTTTTTTTTTTTTTTTGCCCGTTTAGACTTGCCCTTGCCCCCACTATCTGCTCCTGGGTCTTTGAGGATGATTTCCGTACAGCCCATACATTTATTATGCATATATTTGTCAGAAATTACTGCATGCATAATAAATATATGGGGTTGTACAGAAATCTTACTGCCACTTGTTCACGTATCGGGATGTCCTACAGAGGCCAAGAAAACAATAATTTTGAATGCTGTCTCAATTACAGCGTGTCTTGTTCACAAAGTGTTGAAATTCTTGGTTTGTGTTACACATGACATTATGACATGACTTGGAATTTTCACAGCAGCAAATGCTCTTTCACTCAGTGTGCAAGGTTACACGGTCACAAATACATATTTAATTAGAGTTCACTGTAAGTGACGAAATCGCATTAAAATATACTAAAATAGTAATTGACTTAACATCTTGTACATGTACATTGGGATACTCTTTGAAAATCACATCACAGTGTTATCCATGAATGTTTATAATCACTCTACTAAACAATGCCATTCTCCATTTGTACACATTAAGTCGCATTCACGGTAGGAGATCGTAGAAAAACCTAAAGGGTGACCATGTAAATATCAAGAGTGGAGTAATCCCGCCCATGACGATTGTTTACAATTATAATACTGTACATGTAAAATTCTATACAGAAACAACAAACGGCTGAGTGGAGAAACAGTGTGGTGTTAGGGTAAAAGATATTGTTACTTTCATGGCAACCATTTACTAATGAAATGAATCATACGCTCATCCTTCGTTCCTCGAAGCCTGCGAAGGAGCCATCGGAGGCATAAGATTCTTTTTTTAAAACCGTCCGTCCGTTTTCTAGGGCCTGGAAGAAGTCAGAGGTGGTGCCGCACCTCAGGGATGGAGATCACGAGATTCCTAATAACAACCATCCGATCTCGTTACTTCCCGTACTTTCCAAAGTGACCGAGAAGATTTCTTTGAATCAATTTAATGGCTTTCTGACTCAACAAGGCAACCTCACCTGCCCCCGGAGCGAGAATAGCAAATACCACTTTACCGACACCCTGAATCTGCTTGCTACCGCTCATATTCTCAAAGCAATGAACAAGAAGGAAATAACGGCTATGGTCCTGTCATAGGACACTCCTTCTAACCGTTGCAAGGGCTTGGTGCGTCAAGTAAAGCGTTGAAGCGGTTGAAGAGCTACCTTACCAACCAACAGTCAACACGACTAGGCACATAACGCTCTGAGGGGCTAATCGTTACACATGGCGTACCTCAGGGGTCCATTTTAGGGCCACTCCTGTTCAGTCTCCACATGATTGACTTACCCTCTGTTGTCAAATTTTCAAGTGTCGAGTCATATGTCGATGAGACCAACGTTTACCTTTCGTGCTCTTTCAAGAACATTGACCCCTGACTGACTAAAGTCTTCCTGGTGCTGTACTAATAATAGGCTTTTGTACATTATGCTTTTGCTTCCCTACTAAAATGCTCCACCTTAAGGTTCCATTTTTCCCACTAAAATGCTCGGTCTCCCCAAAAAAGTCACTAAAATGCTCGGATAATGCTCATTATACAAACGGTTTTTTAAATTTATTTCAAAGTTTACACTTACAAAAACGTGCAAGTGTTGCAAGTAACAACGACAGCGTGTACAAGTTCATAAATACAGCCAAAAAACCCAGCTGTATTAGGTTTTTTGTGAATTTTGAATTCTAGTCTTCATTTTGTTTAAAAAAGCAGGAGCTCATGGGGCATGGGCTCCTGAAAAAAGTTAATTCTATTTTATTTTCTCGGAGAAATTAATTTTCCGGGGAAAATGCCACTAAAATGCTCGAATAATGCTCAATGCTTTTGCCTCACTAAAATGCTCGAAAAAATGCTAGCATAATGTACAAAAGCCTAACTAATAAGCTACTCATCAATCCTAGTAAAACCAAACTCATTTTGTTTGGAATGCGACAGCTATTGAGTAAAATTCCGGATGTCAGAGTTCCTTTTCTTGGCCAAAACTTAGCTCCCGTACCTTCAGTCAAATATCTGGGGATCATACTAGACTCAAACCTCACATTTAATGAACATGACAGGTAGACCTTCGTTCCTTATCTCTACTCTGTGTCACATGAGCAGAGTTAAGAGATTTATTCAAGCAGATAAGCAGATTTATTCAATCAATCAAAACCTTTATTGTCGATAGTCCCGTTTTTAAGCTTTCTTTTTATTTGTTTTTTGGTATTCCGATTAAATACTTTTGCTATTAATTCTGTTATTATTGTAGACAGGGAATAGTAAAACATGTGCTTAAACCACACCTAAGGGACCCTATGCGCTTTACACCTAATAGATATTGTTCTTTCAAGTTAGACAGACGAAATAAAAGGACAATACCACTTTGGTGACCACAACGCGGGATGAATTAAAGTTTTTTATTCCTTGTAGAAGGATCTCTCCCACTGATAATTGTAATTGACAAAGATGCCAACAAGAAGATGCGTCAGGTTTGAAATATAAATGCAGGCCAATGTTTTGTCCTTTTTCTTTAAGACAAATGATGCGAACAAGCATAAAGACAGTTAGCCTTCGATCTTTCCGAGGCGTAAAGGACCACTTATCGACTAATATGTAAGTACGCCTCATGTGCCAATTATACTTTACTGTCTTGTAGTTGCATATCACAACAATGTCTTAGACTCAAAACTGAACAAAAAAATGGAAACAGGAAGGAAAAAAGCGCCTGTTTAGAGCTTAGTCTGGCCTTTTCCGCGATCTCAATATTGAAAGCTAGGAGGGGACAGTGGCTAAATCTTTTCTAAATCCGTCATCACTAAATGGAGGGTGGAAAGCAATTAAAGTATCTCGTCTTGTTTTGTTACAAATGTGATGATTCAAGAACCATAATGCGAATTGAGTTTAACACTGCGAGGTAGCAAATATTTAAGTAAATTTCCTTCAGAGAGAAAAATTGAGATTTCAGTTGCTCTTTTGTTAAAAGATAGGATACTATCAAGCTAAATAGTCCAAAAGAGGTTAATCGTTTGACTTCCTGTACAAAAAAGAATGCCTGTAGTTTTCCTGCTTCCTAGACTCACCTAGGAAAACGGTTGACTTTCCCCACTTCATCAATGGCGCTCAGGGACAAACCATGCATGTGCGTCGAAAATGTGCTTTGTTTTTTTTTAAACCTATTTCTCGCTGTTTGCCCGTTTTCTCTCGTCAAATACAGTACAAGTAAACAGTTTATATACAAAATCGCTTAAAACGTGTATTTTTCTGTCTGTAAAATTCGCCTTTTCCCTTAATATTGCTTAAAAGGGTCCAGATTTAAGAGGGAATTTGCAGAATACAATAGCTTTCGCGGATTCACAAACACAGAAAACAGAACTGTAGAAGCTTGCACAGCATTTCCGCCGGGACCCGATTGTATCATTTGCAGATTTCTTTCCGTTTGCAAACTTAGCGATTCTTATCAACTCTCTACCGCTCTTTTTCAATAGAAGTTTGCAAGAAGGAAAAATTGGGACTATGAAATTATGGGATGTAAGATTCAGCACAACAGTAACAGTTAATCTGTGAGTTAATTAGTATAATAACAAAGATATCAGAATTTTGAATATTATGTGCAGCTATTTTTTTCTTTATCATTGGTCCCTTGATAGCGATTACTTTTTTCTTCTTATTATTTTTCACTGTAGCGGCTTAGGGCATAGTGATTCTGAATATATCGACATCTCTGGTTCTTCGGTTAGAAAGCAACTACTGAAAGCCTTTATACAATCTGGATTTGCCAATCAAAGTGTTGGAAAATACAAATTACTACCATGTTCACTGGGGTGGTTCGTTAATGCCTCCTCTGGAGTCAATAAATGCATAGAGTGTCCAGCAGGTAAATTACTTCTTAGTCTAACTGACAATACATCTTTAAATCGTGGACATAACATATTAATTTGCCTTTGATATGGACATTTTGTTCTCATTGTTTAACGTCAACTTTATAGAGTATCAGATGAAGTGTTTTTCTTTCTTAAAAGAATACTTAAAGCATAGAGATCTTTCGGACGACCTACAATTATTTAAAATATTTATTTTTTTATTATTATTTTTTAACAAAGAACAGACCTTGTCATTTTTTTTTTTTTTGGTCTGATTGAAAAAGCAAGTATCAGGAAAGAAGTCCATTTCCGTAGTGCTAACATGGACGATGTTGATCCACTAAAATAGGATGATGATAATGTTTAGAAAATACAGTAACAATTTGTATTCAATTTCTGCTTTGTATCCACGTTAAATGAGGCTGCTATCTTTTTCAATTACCTGACTGCCGTAGGCTGCAAGCTACTCAATAAATCTAACATCCTGCACGAATCCTCAGCTAATATGAAGCAAACGTTTAATTGTTTTGATTGTACCATCTGAATAGGCTTCAGTAGCCTAAACTAATGTGCGTTATCTCGGTGTTTTTTTTTTTCTAGCTGCTTATCTCGCTAAAAACAAAACAACTTCTAGGACCTTGTTTAATTGCAACTTGTCTACTTTCTGATAATCAAATGTATAGATTTAGCCAGGGCTAAAAGCGAGGCTCCTATTAATAAATTTATAATTTAAATCAAGCAATAAACTTGTATTCCACAATTCAGTTAACTTTAGAGCACATTTATGTGACTTTTTAGGGAAAGGCTTAGTGATTTTAGAGAAAGATAATTTGCAAACAGCCCAAGAGTGAACCAAATCTTACATCGAGTTGATAGCCTCATATGTACACCCAAAAAATAGCAATCATCTTCGATCACATTTAAGAGCCATAATGGCTCTTGATCATCGTAGATTAACTAGGCCTGGAAAAAACTTTTTTTGCGTTCGACAAGTTTACTTTACAAAATCTTGCCAACAAATCTGAGTGCGTGTAAACCAACCTTTTATACCAATTATACATCACATCTGAGGTGAAACAGTACTATGAGGTAATGTTTTTATCACACAGACCTCGGACAGAATGCAGTATTTCACACTTTTGCAATACAAATTGCACTCATTCAATCAGGACGATCGAAGCACGCGTGGGCTGTGAGCTAAACCGTTAAAAAAATTCCAAAATCACCCATGCGGCCAGCCGGTTCTCACTTTTGTTGTGCGAGCTGTAGCGAGTGTTTGAACGAACATATATAGAGTTAAAGGGACTGGTTCACGATAATGCGCATATGTGAGTTCTGACAGTAGCTGCTTGTTTTTAAACCGATCGGAAGCGAGTTAGATGCACGCAAGTAAATTTACAAAATTCAAATTCATTGTTCGCGACGCGAAAGTAGTTCCCGGGCATTTGGTTTGATTTTATATATCCCCATAATTCAAGTTTATTCTTTGCTACTCCTCAGATATATGTTGCAGCCGATAAGAATAAGATTTACCGCCCTGTCCTGCTTTGAAACAAACATTTACCAACGTGTATTTTTACGAGGTCGTACCCACGCTAACAAAGCAGTCACCGATCAGCAAACAAAATTTGTAAACAAACACAATATTACTGTTCTCTCAGTTCGCCTTATATAAACCTAGAAACATCTACAAATAGCGCCTGACCGGTGACAAAAACACACAACGTATGAGTATAAAGATTATCCTTAATTGAGTATAAATTTCAATTGCTTATCAGCAAATGAACAAATTCATTCGCGTTGCATCGGGTCAGCGTTCCGCAAAACAAATGTTATCGAGTAGAACACACAAAGAAACTGGATTATAAACAGAATATTAAGGCAATAATTTATTTCAGAAACATCAATTCTTTAACATATACGATCGTAAAGCAAAGATACAAGGAACATTTCAAGTGTACCAGATCGGTGAAGATCGCGCGGCCTGTTACGGTATAACTACAGGTCGGAGTCAAAAATCAAATCAAAGTTGAACGAACTCATGCCTTTAACCACTTTCCAAGTGTCGTGTATTCTTTTCGTAAGCCACACACTACTCCTAGAACTATACCAGATCGATCGGCTAAGCTTCTCTATCTCCAAAGACTCTTGAGAACGTCCTGTTGCCGGACGGCCACGATGCTCTTCTGAACCTCCATGATCAAAACATTATTTTTTGCGTCTTCTTAAAACGTAACCAGTCAAACAACACAACCACACGTTAATNCGGTGACAAAAACACACAACGTATGAGTATAAAGATTATCCTTAATTGAGTATAAATTTCAATTGCTTATCAGCAAATGAACAAATTCATTCGCGTTGCATCGGGTCAGCGTTCCGCAAAACAAATGTTATCGAGTAGAACACACAAAGAAACTGGATTATAAACAGAATATTAAGGCAATAATTTATTTCAGAAACATCAATTCTTTAACATATACGATCGTAAAGCAAAGATACAAGGAACATTTCAAGTGTACCAGATCGGTGAAGATCGCGCGGCCTGTTACGGTATAACTACAGGTCGGAGTCAAAAATCAAATCAAAGTTGAACGAACTCATGCCTTTAACCACTTTCCAAGTGTCGTGTATTCTTTTCGTAAGCCACACACTACTCCTAGAACTATACCAGATCGATCGGCTAAGCTTCTCTATCTCCAAAGACTCTTGAGAACGTCCTGTTGCCGGACGGCCACGATGCTCTTCTGAACCTCCATGATCAAAACATTATTTTTTGCGTCTTCTTAAAACGTAACCAGTCAAACAACACAACCACACGTTAATTACCACTACCGAAGTATAAATAGGCCAACCAAAGCGACAGATGTCGGAATAAAGTGAAGGATTTTCAATGATTGTACGAGTAATGGCGATTTCGAATTTAGTATTGACCCAACAAATTTATTCTGAAGAGACAATCGGCGCGCAGGCGCATAACCGTGATCGCGTCCCTTTAAGCTCCAACATAATAAAGAGTTTATTACGTTTGTTTTTTGTTTAATGGTTTTATCGATGTGTAATCTTTAAAAGCGTTTGATACGCGCGGCAGTTTGAGTACTCATGCAAGCGATGTTGACACTGAACGACTGAAAACAAACGGCACCGCGAATAAAATTATAAGAGAGACTACCAACAATCAATAAAAGAAATATAATTCGGTGAAACATATACAGAGACAACATTTTTCATTGACGAAGACAAGTATTAAAGTGTCTCTAAGAATCCTGAGTCTTCAAGCTCAAAGCTTAAGTTTATGTTTTAAGCCGGCTTCCCGGTATTTCCTTTTTTCAATGAAAGATGAACTCGAGGCAAGAAAATCGCTCAAAGCTTTCTTTTACAGTCAGAATTATAACTAAATATTCTTTGGAACGTTTTCTCTCTATTTGCGGTGAGAAAATGTCTAAAGGCTTTTTAAAGTTCTGTTAGCTTATATCAAACCTGACTCTCGGTCAGATCATTGTCTCAAATCTTACAAACGGGCATAAACTAAATATCTGCATAAACTACGCTCGACTTCATTAAATTAGATATAAAAAACAAGCATCAAATACAATAATTACTCAGGCTTACCATTCGAGATGCAGCTCCTGACAGGTATCAAGTAAGGCCAGTATCGCTTCAGACTTTTCAACCCTTACGTATACGCTCGACTTCATTAAATTAGATATAAAAAACAAGCATCAAATACAATAATTACTCAGGCTTACCATTCGAGATGCAGCTCCTGATAGGTATCAAGTAAGGCCAGTATCGCTTCAGACTTTTCAACCCTTACGTATCAAGCAAGGTAAAAAACGATAACGATGCCATCCAAAATCGGATTTCCGACTTTGACAAGTGAAGTATTTCTCAACCATTAACCAACTAGCCATGAATAACAAAGGACTCCTGATAGCAGCTGAATTTCATTTTGTACATCCAGTGGAAAAAGACAGTTACAAACATCACAAGTTGACACAAAACTCTGTCAGCTTCAGCTGTCAAAGTAAACAAGATTCAACATACTGCATAAATTTTCCGCATGAACTCACCTGTCAAATTTTGACCAATCAGAGCATAAAAATTAGAAGTAGAGCGTGACCAACGCGTGACCATGGTGAGAAAAGTCAAAAGCAACTGTCTTTCCTGCCTGTAATGGCTGGCTGAATTTTCGCGTCCGAGGTCAGTTTGAAATCAAAATCTTAATTGTGCGGCACATAACCACAACATATTTCAGGTGAACTTAAAAACAAATTAAACTTGAGCCTGCGATCATTTGAAAACTAGTAAATTGTCAGCGGATAACTTCAAAAAATACTTGACTTCGATGGGTCGACACCTGAGCCCGCGATAAGCTCAAGTGATACTGGTCAGCGGGTACCCTGTTTTGACAGCTGTCAATTGATCACAACATTAATGTCCAATACGTGTGCATTATCAGCTGTGGTCCAAAACTAGCTAGAAAGTATGAGAATGAACATTGATCGCGATCTACTAAAACAATTAACTGGTCAGCGGACAGCTTCCAAATAAATCACGTCACCTCGATGAGTTGACACATGAGCCCGCGATATGGTCATGTGGTACTGGTCAGTGGCTATCCTGTTTTGACAGCTGTCACTTGACCATATTGGGAATGTCCCATATAAAAGATGTGGATTTGCCAAGACACGCCGTCCCTTACTTTTGATAGTCTCTCCCACCCCACCCGTACAATCTGTAGACGCGTACGCTCGGGTCAATCACAATATAACAAAACGAAAAGAGGTTGACCATATTCTAATATATAGATTTAGCCAGGGCTAAAAGCGAAGCTCTGGTTAATAATACGTGTAAACATATAAAATTAAGTCGTGTAATGCTAAACAGGGACGACAATGAAAATGGCTTCAAGACTAATAGATCTAATTAGCAAAAAACAAATTACACGTGCAGCACACTTTTTCTTCTAATTAGCAAAAAACAAATGTGCACGTGAGCACGCTTTTTTGT